GCATTCTACTGTCATATGTAACTCATTAAAACAAAAAAAAATTTTAAAAAAGGATACAAAAATTCTTAATAATATATTGTCAAGTCACATACAAAACACATTAAGAAGAGTGCACCATGATCAAGTGGGTTTCATCCCAGGGAAGCAATGTTGGTTCAACATACAGAAATCAATAAATGAAATTCATCACATAAATAGACTTATGGACTGATGACATGATTCTATATTCAGAAGACCCAAGAAAATGCCCTCAGAAGACTTCTAAAGCTGATGGATGAGTTCTGCAAAGTATCAGGATACAAGATCAACACAGATAAATCAATTGCTTTCCTATACTCCAATGATGAATCTGCTGAAATAGAGATTGGGAAACTATCTCATTCAAAATAGCTTCAAAAAAATAAAATACTTGGGAATCAATCTGACCAAAGAGGCAAAGGACCTCTACAATGAGTACTACAGAATAGTAAAGAAAGTAAATGAAGAAGACCTTAGAGAATGGAAAGATCTCCCATGTTCTTGGATAGGCAAAATGCCACACTACCAAAAGTGCTATACAGATGTAATGCCATTCCCATTAAAATTTCAATTACGTTTTCATAGAAATAAAAAAAGTGGTCATGAAATTTATTTAGAAAAATAAGAGGTTCAGAATAGCCTAGGCAATCCTTAGCTAGAAAAGTGAAGCAGGAGGCGTCCCAATACCGGGTGTTAAATTACACTACAGAGCTGCAGTGACAGAAATGACATAGCATTGGCACCGAAACAGAACTGGAGACCGATGGAGCAGAGCAGAGGCACAGAGACAAAGCCACGTTTACAGTTATCTTTGTCTAGACAAAGGTGCCAGAAACCTACATTGGAGAACAGACAGCCTCGTCACCAAGTGGTGCTGGGAGAACTGGAGAGCCACATGTAGTAGATGGAAATTGAAGCCCTCTATCTCACCCTGCAGGAAACCCAACTCTAAGTGGATCAGGGACTTTGGCATTAGACGGAGACCTTGAGCCCACTAGAAGAAAAAGCAGGTGCCGCAGTCTGGCTAGGCACAATCAGGAGCCACATGTCAAAAGAAACTAACTTTATTTTTAGAACCACACACGCCAAACAAAACAGCCTCTCAGGAAAAACCCTCAGAGCCTCAACTGCCACCACCGGCTTTCCACAAGCCTCTCTCTCCCACACAAGCTTCTCTCCCTCTCCCACAATCCTCCTGCTCTTGAGGCCGATTGGCTGGGTCACGTGGGCGGAGCCAAAAAAGTCCCCCAATGAGCAGCTCCGTGGTCTGAAAGGGCAGGGAAACAGTCCAATGAGCATCACCGCAGAGGAGCCAATCAGCTAGATGTTGCTGGGGCCGAGGAGCCAATCAGCTAGATGTTGCTGGGCCGCTGTGAGCCAATCATCAGCCAGCAGCTGGAAGTTTGCTGGGGCCCCTTCCGCTGTGGCTCTCAACAGCAGGCTGGTTCTCCGTCATATCGGCTCAGCACTAGACTTCCTCAATAAGCCTCCTAAGGCACAAGAAGTAAAACCAAGAGTCAATAAATGGGATGGCATCAAACTAAAAAGCTTCTTCACAGCAAAGGAAACAATCCAACACGTCACAGAAGAAGAAATACAAGTGGTCAAAATGTATATGGAAAAAATGTTCAAAACATCTAGCAATTTGGGAAATGCCAATTAAAATTGCACTGAGATTTCATCTCACTCCCGTCAGAATGGCAATTATCAAGAATACAAGCAATAATACATGTTGGTGAGGATGAAGGGGAAAGGTACACTCACACATTGCTGGTGGGACTGAAAATGGGGGCAACCACTCTGGAAAACAGTGTGGAGATTCCTCAGAAAACTTGGAATAGAACCACCATTTGACCCGGTTATCCCACTCCTCAGTTTATACCCAAAGGACTTAAAATCAGCACACCACAGTGACTCAGCCAATCAATGTTTATAGCAACTCAACCCACAATAGCTAAGCCACTGAACCAACCTAGGTGCCCCTCAATAGAGGAATGGACGAAGAAATTGTGGTACACAGACACAATGAAATACTACTCTGCCATAAAGAAGACTGAAGTTTTGGCATTTTCCAGTAATGGACACAACTGGAGACTATGATGCTAAGTGAATAAGCCAATCCCCACCAAAACCTAAGGTGGAATAATTTCTCTAATATGCAGAAGCCAATCCAAAATGGGGGTGGGGGGACTTAAAACAGGATAGAAGAAAGATCAGTGGAGTAGAATGGAAAGGGGAAAGAAGGAAAGGGGGATAGGACAGGAAAGCAGTAGAAGGAATATGACTGAGTCTTCTGGGTACACAGGAGTGCACCACGGGAAATGTCACCACCACGTGCATACCCAGACACTAACTAAAAAGAAAAAAAAAACCTGTAATTAAACAGCATAAAAATTAGGAGAGTAGAGGGAAGGGGGTGGGGGGAGGGAGGGAGGAAGGGAATGGGAGCACTTTGGACTAAATTAGAACAAACTGCGCTCCACGCTTTTATAAGAATGTCAAAATGAATCCTATTGTCGAGTGACGGAACCCTGCATTGGGATGGACCACCTGAGCAGATTCGCATCCCAGCCCCTCACCAGGGCTCCCCAAGGCCCTCCCTGAGGCAGCCCCCACAGCGCCACCACCCCTTGGCTTGCAGACCTGTCACCCAAGCCCTGCTGGTCCTGAGGGTGAGGTCAAAGGCGCCTGTCCTGGAGGGGCTTGGGGTGTGGATCTGTAAAGGATGTAGTGGGACCTGGGTGACTGACGTGGACCTCGGGGCAGACTCTGGGCAGCCTGCTGAGGGAGCAAAGGGCCAGGAGTGGTGAGGTTTGTGGCTAAAGCGTGGAGCCCAGCACCTTCACTAAAGGAGGGGAAGGCCAGAACCGCCTGGCGCGCTGCAGGGGACCGCGGGAGGCTGGGACCTGAGCCTGGACTTGCCACCGCAGAGGCTGCTCACCACTGGGGCCCAGGGACACCCCTCCCGCCAGGCCTGTGAGGCGGATCGCCTGCTCTCGGGCCCACGCTGCTCTGCCGTCCGACTGCCTGGGGACTGCAGCTGTGACCCTGGGACTCCCAGACACAGTCGGAGGGACAGCAGAGGCCCAGTAGAGGCACCCATCACCAAAGCCAGGTGGGTGTGGCCCCTCCGCAGGGGTCCTCAGGGAGGGAAAGCGCAGTCCGCGCCCACGGGGGAGGGCGTGGTCCGCGCCGGAGGGCACAGTCTGCCCCAGACCCAGCATGTGGCTCCCCAGGGAGACTCAGCGAGGTCCACGAGGAGGCCCAGCGTGGGGGGCGCGGTCCGCATGGAGGCCCAGCGTGGGGGGCGCCGTCTGCGCAGAGACCCAGCACGTGGCTGCCCCACCCAGGGGAGGGCGGCTGCCCAGCGCTCTCACCCGCTGAACCAACACAAGACTCCAGGTTTGGCAAACACAACTCTGACTTCAGTTCCTCCAAAAGAGCCCAGAGCCTTGACCCATTTCCAGGCAGAAGCCCAAGTCCTGACCCAGGGAAGAACCAGGCCCTGAGGCACAGCACCACTGTCCACACAGGGCTTCGCTGGCCGCTCCCCCAGGAGCCCGCTCAAGGGCCGGAAGATTGCAGCACAGGGGCAACAAAGCCTGGAGCCATCGCAGCACAAAGGCACCCAGTGTGGCTGGGGCGCCCCTACCACACCTCAGAGGGCACAGGCCTCTGCTCCCTGGCGGGGCCTTGGCGGCCAGATTCCCAGCCTGGCATCCCAGGACACCTGCCCTGCCTCCCTTGGACCTGCTTGTCCTCCGCTTGCACCAGATGCTCCTCCTGCTGCCCACTCTGCATGCTGGGTCCTGCGGCTCCTGACTCTACAGAGGACGTTTAGAGACCTGCAGGGCCAACACTGAAGTCAGATGGTGACGAGGGGCCCTGGGTACGTGACAGAGAACTCCATGGTAAGACAGGGAATGCAAAACAGCAAAAGTACTTCTCAAAACAGAAAAGGTGCTTACGGTGAAATTCCTAAATACACACGGAATTTTCCTCCCAGTAGGTGATACAAACAGGGACCAGGACAAAGCCTAGATCGAGTGTCAGAGACAGAAGGGGCTTGGTCCATGGCTGTCAGCAGAGCTCTGATGTGCCCCTCACCTGGGTCACCTCAGTCCCCAAGTCTCCCAACACTCTCCCACAGCAAGGAAACGGCAGAACTGAGGGCTGGATCCAGGCCCCAGGACCCTCGGAAACGTCCCCTGGCCAGGGCTCCTGGGCACCATGGAGGCTCAGGGTGAAAGAGGGGCTTCTGAGAGCTGATGGGGCCACGTCCAGGAGAGCCCCAGGTCAGCCAGCCAGGCAGCAGCTGGGGCCCTGCTTCCTCTTGCTCCCAGGAGAAGTGGGGCCACCTGCTGACAGCGTCAGGGATTGCAGAGGAGACCTGCCTGCACCTTCAGGGAAAGCTCAGAGAAAACGGTCATTAAAAACACAGGGCCAGGAGATTCTCTGGACCCTGGCACAAACAGGAACCAGGAAGTGACCACATGTCCAGCCTCACCTGATCCTGGGCAGGTACTTAAAGCCCTGGCTCAGGAGGCCCCACACCTCACTCCTCCTCCCTCCACCTGCTGCTCTCACCTCCTCCACCCTCCACCTCCAGAACCATGACCTGCTGTGGCTGCTCCGGGGGCTGTGGCTCCAGCTGTGGGGGCTGTGGCTCCAGCTGTGGGGGCTGTGGCTCCAGCTGCTGCAAGCCCGTGTGCTGCTGTGTGCCAGCCTGTTCCTGCTCCAGCTGTGGCTCCTGTGGGGGCTGCAAGGGGGGCTGTGGCTCCTGTGGGGGCTGCAAGGGGGGCTGTGGCTCCTGTGGGGGCTGCAAGGGGGGCTGTGGCTCCTGTGGGGGCTGCAAGGGGGGCTGTGGCTCCTGTGGGGGCTGCAAGCCCTGCTGCTGCAAGTCCAGCTGCTGCAAGCCCTGCTGCTGCCAGTCCAGCTGCTGCAAGCCCTGCTGCTGCCAGGACAGCTGCTGCAAGTCCAGCTGCTGCAAGCCCTGCTGCTGCCAGTCCAGCTGCTGCAAGCCCTGCTGCTGCAAGTCCAGCTGCTGCAAGTCCAGCTGCTGCCAGGATAGCTGCTGCCAGTCCAGCTGCTGCAAGCCCTGCTGCTGCCAGTCCAGCTGCTGCAAGCCCTGCTGCTGCCAGACCAGCTGCTGCAAGCCCTGCTGCTGCCAGTCCAGCTGCTGCAAGTCCAGCTGCTGCCAGGATAGCTGCTGCAAGTCCAGCTGCTGCAACCCCTGCTGCTGCCAGTCCAGCTGCTGCAAGCCCTGCTGCTGCCAGGACAGCTGCTGCAAGCCGTGCTGCTGCCAGGACAGCTGCTGCAACCCCTGCTGCTGCCAGGACAGCTGCTGCAAGCCCTGCTGCTGTGCCCCTATTTGCTGTCAGTGCAAGATCTGAGGTTCTGGCTGCAGGTGGCAAGGGGCTTGAATGTGCCTAGCACCTCACACCAAAGCCATTCATCACCATTCTGATCCCCTCCTTTCAGAAGTTGCAGTTCCAGTGATGTGGTTTCCAGATTCTGTAGGAGCAGGAGCTCTTTGTGCTGGCTCCTGCTACCCTGGAATCTCCAAGCTCACTCACCTTCAGGTGCTAATCATGTCCCTCCAGGGCTCCCTCAGCCAACACAGTCCCAGAGCCCATCACTGCTTTTCACCAGGGGAACTTGGCTGAGCCAAGTTTCTGAGTCAACCTGGGTCACTTTCTGAGCCCAGTGCCTCTGCACATCCCAGGATCTGCACATTACCAGCCCTCACACACTGCCCCTGCTACCAGCCCTGGAAGCTGCCTGCACAGCAGCCACCTGCCAAGGGGTGGACTGCAGCTGCTAACCACTCTGAGGAAACTTACTGCTAAAGAATTCATAAATAAATACAGGGGCTGGGATGGTGGCTCAGCGGTAGAGCGCTGGCCCAGCAAGGGCGGGACCTGGGTTCGGTCCTCAGCACCACATAAAAATAAAGGCATTGTGTTGTGTCCATCTACACCTAAAAATAAATGTTAAATCAATCAATCAATCAATAAACAAACAAACACACACACACACCCTACTGGACTCCTGACTCCACAGTGCTTTAACAAACAGTCCATTGGGGGAGCAAAACCATCTGGGCCTGCGCAGAGGGAGCCTCCTCTGATGGGGGTGGGTCTGGGGCACTTACTGCAATCTCAGCAGGGCCATTGCTACCTGCTTTGCTGCCATGGTCCAGTGCAGTTATGAAAGAGGATGGAACAACTGGTAATGGTTAGAAGGAGAGAGCAACCTCCTGTGAACCAGATGGAATGGGGGGAGGGCAACCCAACACAGTAGGAGCAAGTGCAGGGAGAGGGTCTGACCAACCAGCAGGTGCCACTCCCTGAGCAGCAACTGTGTAGAAAGCACTTCACAAATCTAAGGCCAGGGACTGCCCTCTGAGTAAGAGCACTTGCCTAGCATGTTGGAAGCCTGGGCTCCTCCCCAGCTCAGCAAAAGTTCTTGAAGACTGGGGAAATACAGGCTTTTGGAATAACCTATGATAAAACTTTTTTTTTTAACCAAGGATTGAGCCCAGGGACACTTAATTATGCAGCCACATCCCCAGCCCACCCCCCACTAATTTTTTTTTTCATTTTTATTTTGAGGTAGGAGCTACCTAACTTGCCCAAGCTGGTCTTGCAAGACTCATTAGGGAGACCCCCTGCATGGGTCCTGGATGGACTTCTGCACACTGACTGTGGGGTAACAGCAGCACTAGATAGTGTTTGCTGCTTGTGTTAAAGCAGCATTAGGGCTGGGGCTGGGGCTCAGCGGTAGAGCACTTGCCTAGCATGTGGGAGGCACTAGGTTTGCTTCTCAGCACCACATACAAATATATGAATAAGGAAAATCCCATCACAGAAAGGGTAGCTCCCTTTTTTGAACTAGTGCAGTGTCCGCAGGTCTCCACTTCCTTCCTGTGTCCTGACTGCCCTGTGACCAGCCAGGTGCAGGTGTTCGCAGCTTCAGTCTGAACCAAGCCCTGGACGTGCCCAGGCACTGGAAAAGGCGTTTATGTTGTTTCCCAAATGCTGGAGGGAAAGGGACCCAGCCCTGAGAAACGCCTGACACCCCGTAGGAGCTCCACACCTGACCAGAATGTCCCCTGGGGACACCTGGGCAGAATGCCCCTTTTCTGGCCACCTCCTCTAAGATGCATCCTGTGTGTGAGATCTGCTGCAAACACCTGACCGCCCCTTCTCAGGAGGACTTGGGTCCCCAGGAGTATGCCCTGGGCAGATTTGGAGGGTACTCCATCCACAGTCAGCTGGACAGGTCAAGGAAAGTCCAGGTCTGGGGGCCCCACAGGACTGAATCCCGGGGGGCCTCAGAGCATATTAATTGTCAAGGAAGGAAGATGCCCTCAGGGGAGGGGCTAGTACTACAGCCACTGGGGAAGCCAGCCCCCAGAATACCTGCAGCCATTTCCTACAGGGAAAAGGAGATCCTGTAGGAATCCTGGGATTCCAAGGATGGTTGGACACCGGCTTTGAACAGGTGCCGATCCCTGGGCCATACTCTGCACTTTGCCACCCAGAATCAGGGCCTGTACAAGTCAGGACACTAATGGAGCCTTAGCTGTGGTATCCCTCAGCTCATGGGCCAGTCCGCATCGCCAAAAGAAAGCCCCAGAAACACCCTATATCTATCCATCCATCTATCTATCCATCTGTCTGTCTATCACACATCTTATATACACTGAGGTGCCATAAGAAGTAAGTCACCTGCTCAGAAGTGGGTGGGCAAGGCACAATTCTTCTGCAGAGGGGGGAGGCCCAACACACACCTGGGGGAGGGCAGTCTGCCAATCTTTACCTCTAACAAGTGCTGCTCCTCGCTCCTGATAGGAAGAGGTCTGGGGCACAACCTATGGGGTTAGCTGATTTTAAAGGGGAGAAGAGCACTGGAAAAGGCTACTGTTGTTGCTGGGAGCCATTAGCCAAGTAGGTATGACAATTTCCTTGCCAGCGTACCCCATGTTGCTTAGTGGAAGCACTCGTGGAAATAGGACATTTTGCAGTGACATTGCATGTAAGGTGGCCTTGCTCAAGGACCAGGGCGGATCCGGGTTTAGGGTGTTCCCGGTTTAGGACAATCCGGGTTTAGGGTGGTTCCATGTTTAAGGTTATTCCTGCTGGGAATAGGGCGTATCCTGCTGCCTGAGTTCCCCTTCGTATCCTGCTGCCTGAGTTCCCCTTGAGTTCTCATGGGATTCAGACACTATTTTTTGGGAGACAGAAGCCCAGTGGGGGTGGATTTGGGCAGAGAACGTGGATTTCCCCAGAACGTGATTGTAGATGGCTGGTGTGAGTTCGGGTATAAAGAGTTGCTGTTTGAATCTACAAGCTGTGTGGTGGCTCGTGTATTTGTGCCCAGCCAGACTGCGGCATTTGGTGGTCCGTACGGGGAACGCCTGAAACTTGGAGGTAAGTGAAATTGCTCACCCCTGAGGAAGAGCGAAAGAATGGGTGACCAATTCAAAAAACAATGTGTTATTGTTTTGATTTATTTTGTTTTTATTTCAAGTTGCCTGTTCCTAGAACTTTCTCAGGCAAACTGGGGAAAATGGTTGACTCAAGGTTTGAAGTTATTTGCCTCTGAGCAAGAGAAATTGTTAGAGGAAGGAGGCACCCCAGTGAGACCAAGAACAATTAGGGCATATGTTGATACAATACAAAAATGTAGCCCATGGCTTTTTAAAGACGAGTTATTAAGTATATCAATGGGACCATCATGGTATCCTGTAAAAAGATTTTTCTTCAACAAAAAGATGGCTAATTCTGTTTACTACATTTGTCTAAGATCTTGGTTTTTACAGACATCTGATTAATTTACAAAGCTAAAGTGTTAAAATATCAACCACTAAATATGAAATCAAGTACTCTTTACTTATTAAGTTCCATAAGGTAATATATTTAAACATTATGTGTGTTTTCATAAATTGGTAAATGGAAAAATGTTTAATATTGCTTTGTGTCTGTGTCTTTGCTAAAACAAGGTTACTAAGAGTTAAGATTCTATCATGTGTAATTTATATACAAAGAGTAGAAAAATTTTCAGTTGGGTTTCAATTATAGTATCATAGTATCATAAAAAACATGAAAGTATTTCATCTTATTAAAGTGGAGTAATTTGTTTAAATCAGAAATTTTATAAGAGTTGTTTCAGAATGTGAATTTATAAAAAGGGTTAATGGCTACAAAAGAGATATAAAAAGATTCAAGATGTGGAAATATATTTTAATATGGAAGGTTAAAAGAAAAATAAATATTTCTAGATGAGATAATCTCTGTGTGGTAAAGAAAAAAGTTGTAAAATGCCATTTAAAAAGATTTTGAGGAAACTAAACTTACTTTAAAAGCTTGAGAAAGGAAGAAAGAAGAAAAAGGTATTTGTACATGGCAGATTGAGACAAAGCTTCTCAATGGAGTTAAAAAAAAAGCCTTTGGTTGAAGGGCAGCCATGTAAACTAACATTAAAGAGATTTAAACAGAATCTAAGCCTCGTTTAAAAGAGTGAAGTTGTAGGTCGTGAAAAAGTACATTTAAAAGTACAGTATAGATGATATTTAAAAGGTTAAATTGAACGTGGTCGAGATACCTTCATGGCCGAAAAAAGAAAAAAGATATTTGTAAAATGTCTAAGTTGCAAAAGGCTTTAAAAGGTTAAATTGAAGGTGGTTAAGATGCCTTCATGACGGAGAAAAGATTGCATCATTTGAAGCCTAGTTATTCTTAAAAGCATTACTTAAAAAAAAACATGAAAATGGGAAGATAATAGGATTAAAGATATTTAGATAAAGAAGATTAAAAATTTGAAGCGAAAAACTTTAAAGACAGAAGTATAGAAAGTTAAAAAGAAAAAAGATAAAGAGGATGTAGAAAGATAGAAAAGATGCAGGAAGACAATGATTTTAAACCCACAAAATAGGAAACAAGAAAACTAAGAGGAAAAAAAAGCAACTAAGGGTGAATGTACAAACCTTAGGAAAAAAAAAACTAGAAGATAGAAATAAGATAAAAAATGGTTGAAAATATCAAGTAAGGTATTACAGATAGAAAATGCAAAAAGCTAAGACAACTATTAGATACAGACATATACTTATTAAAGCAAAAAGAGGGAATTGGAAAGGGGTATATATCCCCCAAAGATAAACTTAAAATAACGCTTTTTACTCTAAACTTTTTAAATTTGGATTCATCAGGACTTAGTGCTGCGGAAAGGCATATGTATCCAAAAAATGTACATAAGCCCAAGGTACTTTGGAAAGATATTCTAACAGGA